TCATTTAGTTTCTCCAGATGGATTTAAAAAAATCTCAGTTGATACTAAACAACCATTTCAGTGCTGTAGACTGGTTTTGGAAATTGCCTTTAGAGGCTTAAAAGAAGCTATTTAATATAGCAGATATAACCAGTATTTGATACTGTACTCAAGAGGGATAGGAAGGTATGGGTGTAGGAGTCTTAACTGATTTTTCACAGTAAACCACTGATTTGAACACAAAGATGTAATTCATATGAAGAGCTAAGTAGTACAGACCAGAAAATAAAATTGTAATGTCTTCTCATGGTGGGCGGGGATCAGGGAAGCCCATGTCTCTCAAGTGCTTTTATGATTTTCTATTTGCCTATAAAGTTACTGGGACAAAATATATAGTGGAAAAACTTTTAAATGTTTATGTGGGATTATTTTGGGTTATCCTTTTCTGCGTTCCTTCGTTGTGACCTCAGGTTTGCCCAGTTATGGGGGTCAATTTTTTGTTCAACCCTTTCTTCACCCCTAACCAATCCCAGTGTAACAGTTAATTCTTGCTAATACTTAATGGTGTTCTGTTTCAGGAGCTTGGGAAAAGGATGCAGGGAGTAAACTAAAAGCATAGTTGCACTTTGGCCAGATGTGTTTGTGACAAAAGAGTGCGTGTACTTTTCAGCAACTGAGTCCTCATATATCTGCCTTTTGTGTGTTTGTTCCACCCACATTTTCCTTTAAAATTGATCAATGGTTTCTCTGATCTGTAGGACATAATGTTCATGGATCAACACAGAATCATCAAAATTAATTAAAAAAAAAAAAGTATCCCACTGGTTTGTATCATAGTTCCTGTTACAGAGCAGTAAGGTGTTTTGTGGTTTTTTGTGTTTTTTTTTTAATAAGGTCCTTTACACAGACCTGCTTACCTTGAATGCTTTGTCACTTAAGTCTTTTGCTTGTGGAGGCACTGAGGAAACGAGAGAACACAAAGGAGGGCAGCAAAAAGCAGAGTGAACTCAATTTTTAGAGTGAGTAGAGGTGACTATTAATAGTCTATTAATATCATCAAGGTAGTAAGATAAATGAAGAGAGGGAATTGCTTGGTCTCAGATGGAAGGAGAAAGAGCAATCGCTTAAGGCTAAGGAAGGAAAAGTTTGAACTAGATAATAAGGGCGGGGGAAGGAATGCTTTAAGCAGAGAAAGTGAGTGATGTTTTGACGAACCTAAGGAAGAGTCTGAGATACTATCACTCCAGAGGTGTGAGATTTAAAATAGTGTGGCCACCCAATGTGACCGATGTATATAAAAATCACCTAAAATTCTGGAGTCAGGTTGGGTAGTTTTAACCTCTTTTTCACAGTTGTGATATGATGCAAGTAATGACTGTGGCCTTGACTAGCTTTTCTAACCTAACCTGTGCTTCCTCAGCCTGTTCAGAGAGTTTATTGGGGAATGAGGGAAACGTGTGCAGGAAGGGAGTGTGACAGGATAGACTGTAATAGTAAGGTAGCTTGTTATTTATGCCAGTAACTATCTTGTAATTTGGTTTTGGTTCTTCTCTTTTTAAGTCAGTGCAGCTTTTCGGTACTGGATGACATTGGCAGCTGAAGTATTGCAGTGATAATGATTTTGTGGTGCTGGAGAAAATGACTTAGGACAATGATTTCAACCTTTCTGAAAGATGCCTTCATATAATAAGATTGCCATTAGAAAATTAATTGGGAAGCAGGGAAATCGTGTATGTCCTCTTAAAAGAAAGCTTTTGAGTATTCTTATTGACATTCAGTACAGCAACATGTCAAAATGTAAAATGTATCTTGTTCATATCAGTTTATGCCAACCACAATACCATTTCTGGCAATTTAGAAAGAATGGTCTCAAAGAGTAACTTAGAGAGAGTCAATGAATTGGAACAACTTAAAAGTTCTGTCTTCATCTTATTCTCCTGCTTACAGCACGTCTTCCCCTCTCAGACCTGGTTTATCTCTGCAAGATTTGCTCTCTGCATCTTTCTCTTGGGATCTGGAATATATCTCTCTCTCCTGTGATTCAATTTCCTTCTTAGTTTTCAAAAAGTTCTTGTTGGGTAATTAGATGATTCTGGGACATTGCATTGTGCCAGTTTTTAAGGTATGTTGCTGTTAGAGTCAGAAGAGACTGTTCTGATCATCTGCCCTCCTGCAAGAGATGGTTACAGAATTTCACACATCCATTTTTATGTCTAACTTCTGCTTCAGATTCAATAAACAGCTCTTGTCTGAGACAACAATTTACTAAAATATATTTGCTTCTATACCTTGCAGCCCTCAGTCAGGGAAGGTGTCAGAAAAGTCTAGGTTTTCACATAGCACCTTTTCATTAAAACAGCTTTTGCATGCAGCTTCAGTGGGTGCTTCTTTGAGATGGAGCAGGAGGAAGTCAAGGATCATCTGCATCCCAAATGGCTTCATTCCCTGTGGTACAGAAGAAGATGGATTGGCTTGATTGTTCTGTGTGCTTCTCCTGCTGAATTGTATCTCCATTATGAAAGCAGATATTTGAAAAGCAGTCCAGTGCTAGCAGCTAAGTAATGGTTTGGAATATTCAGTCAGAACAGGAATGAATTAGCTATTTTTCTTTTTTCTTTTTCCTTTTTTTTTTTTTTTTTTTCCGGTGTTAAAATGTGTGGAATGGAATGGCCACTTGGTGGCAAAACTGAACAGGAAGTAAAATGTGACTCTGCTTTTCAGAAGTGCTTCTATTTGAGTGGAATTTGTGGCCGATTTGTGGGAAACAGGGTTATAAAGGCACACTGACTTCTACCTGCAAGGTCATGTTTGTTTGTAATTGTGTTCCTAATTTTCTGTAATCATGCTACTTGTGGTACTGGTGGAAACTGATTACTTGAACACAAGATGTATCAAATCAATCATCTTTGCCTTCACCATGAGGTAAACTGGGGCAATGTCAATGCCCCTTCAGAGTCTCTAGCAGATTTAGAGACAATACTACATGAAAAAGCTTCAATGACGAGGTAAAGGGCTTAGGGGGGAGGGAACTACAGATTTCTGCCTAATGAAAATGTTGATACTTTCCTAATGACAGTGGCACATGCTCTGTATTTTAATGAGGCAAGATAGAATATGTTAGGAAAATGACCATAAAACAGCAAGGTAGCTGTGCTAGCTAATTTCTCTTTCTAGCTGTTGTTAACAAAACAAAACAAAAAAGGGTCAGATTATTATTTTTAATGTTTTAAGGCGGTGTGGTTTGTAGGGAGACATAACACCATTTTTTGTATCAACCTCATGTATTGGGAGGGGGATTGTGCACCCAGCAAGATCTGATCTGTGTGAGTGTTTTCTTCAGGTGATGCCTGGATATAACTGAAAGTGTTTCAGCATGCAGGGCATTGGGTATGCTGCCTAGAGGCTGATAAGGTCTCCTTGGGCACAGCATCATAACAAAATAGTATTAATGCTATGCGTTTTCCTCAACTAGAATTCTGACTGCATCAGTCCCTTTTACTTCACACCTCAGGGGACATGGCTACAGGCTCCTGAGGGAAGTGAGCAATTGAAATAAGTAAGGCATCTCTCTTGCAACTGCACTTCAGGTGAGGTGGAGATTCCTGACAACACTCAGCAAGGTCTCAGGCTCCCTGTGTGTTGGGAACTGCATGGATAAATTAATTTCTTTTTAATATGAGAATCTTTTTGCTGTTTCATGCTGTCACATTCAAACTGCATTTATTACTGAGCTTCTCTTGATTTTAAATAAGAGAGTGAATTCATTACCCCTGCTTCTTGTTCCAGCAGATTTACTTTAATCTAATGCTAAAGTCAATAGGAGCAATACCTACTTCCCTTCCTGTCTGTGCTCCCACTGCATACTCTGAGTGGATACACATCCATGATATTGAAGGAAACGAGCTTTTGTCCTGTTTAAAAAACAGGCCCTTTAAATTGGTTGTCCATTGACAGAGATTTGGAGAACATGTGGTATAAAGTAGTATTTCCTGCTGCTGGATGGCTTAGTGAAAAAATAGTCATCCAGGATTTCGTCCATGATGCTCTAACGTATCTCAGCTCTCTTTTTGTGTGCATGCATGTATTTTACTTGTGGATGTAGAATTAGTAGAATTTTGTTTTTTCAAAACTTTGGAGTCTCACAAGTGTCATTAATAAATAGTCTGAGGGTTTGTAATTCCCTTAAAATTTCATGTTGCATCTTTGAATGTCTTTACAGTGATGTTTCATTCAGCATTTCTTGTTTGGACTGCCTTGGCTATCGAATAAAAAAAAGCAAGGTCAACCCAAGCTCTTGTGTAACCCATCAATTTCAGTGTCCTTTTGCTTGAGCCAAAGAGCTTTTCATGCTTAACATGGCAGGTCCTCATTTCAGGTGTCATCCTTTTTCCTTGGACCTGAACGGGGCAAGAACCAAGACCTTGCTGGAAACTGTTACCTCTGAGTGGCTTTTGTTTCTTAAATTCCTTGTTTATTGTATAGAATAGACTGCACAGGTAAGTACAAATAATGCATAAGAGCTGTAGGGGTAGCTGAAATGCAAAGCAGCAACTCTTTAGATACACTGCATTTGGTTAAGTAAGGTTATATGTACATGTTTAGATGTTCACTAGATCTGGTTGGGTGCGTTGGAAGATATTTAGGTGATGCACAACTGGAACATTTTTGGTGTGGTTTTGTTTGTTTGTTTGTTGGATCTTCTTGGCTGATTACTGTTTTGTTTATTTGCTTTTGGGACTTTTGGTTTTTTGGGTGATTTTTTTGTTTGTTTGGTTTTTTTACCCAGCCAATTTCTGTGATCTCATCTACACAGCCAGTCCAACAACCTGCACTTGTACAACTGGGGATAGACTAAATCAGAGGAGACAGGGTGAGCTTAACAGCTGCTACAGAGGAGAGCCGGAACTACTTACCTTTTTTTTCTTCAGCAAAGTTAATTTAAGACAGAGTAGTCATAATAACCAGATTAGCTTAGATCTAGTACAGTTGTACCAGCCTTTCTGCCAAGGTAAAGTCCTGTCTTATATGCTGCATATGGCTGGACCTGTTGCACCAAATTTGCAGGGTTTGTATATGACATAAGAGCTGCTGCCCTTGCCAGGACCAGGCCGTGGTGCTGAGCCTCTGCCCCGCTGTCTGCCCGGGCAGCAATGACGGCGGCGGGGGGCGAGGAGGGGGCAGCTCCTGCTGCCTCCACCAAGGCTCTCAATGCTCTTTTGTCCGGTCTTGCTCAGCTCCAAGCATGGAGCTAAGTTTGGCTGAACTGTCTGGTGCTGGGAGCCTGCTGCAAGCCGTGCCCAGGTTCTTTGGGGGAAATTTCTATTTCCTCCTCTCTGTCCTGCCCTCGGCCGGCCCTGCACCGACAGGTGAGGCGGGGGGCCCCTTCTAGCCGCGCTGGGGGCGAGAGGCGCCCGCTGAGGGGGGGGCGGGGAGGGGGCCTCGCTCTGCGGAGGTTCCCAGGGGGCACCGAGGGCTTCGCCACCCCACAAAATGGCTCCCCCGGCCGTACCGCCCCCGGCCCCCGGGGCGGCCCCGCGGAGCTCTCCATGGTGGCCGCCGGCCCTCTCCGGGCGGTGCGGGGTCGCTGGGAGCCGGGCAGCCCCCGCGTCGCGCCGCCCCCTCCGCCCCGGCCCGCCGTCCGCCCGTGCCGGGGCGGGGGCGCTCCGGGCGCCTCGCCCGCCTCCCCAGGCCAAGCCGGGAGGCGCCGGGCCGCGCTCCCCGCCCCGCCCCGCGCCGGCGCCCCGGGACGGGCGGCAGAGCGGCCGCGGCCCCGGTCGGGCCGGGAGTCCCGCGCGCTCCCGCGGTGCCCGGCGGGCGGCGGCGCGGTGCATGCCGGGCCCGGGGCGGACCGTCCCCGCGCTGCGCCAGGAGCCGCGAGCCGCGCCCGCCGCCATGTTCCGCCGGGCCGCCGCCGCCCGGCGCCTGTAGCCGCCCCCGCCCGCCCCGCCGCGCCCCGCCAGCCGCCGGCGGACGGGCGGAGAAGGCGCCGCAAGCGCCCAGCACCGCCGCCGGAGCCCGGCAGCCCCAGCGATGTCCGCCAAGGAGGGGAGCAAGGTGCTGCTGCTGACGCCTCACGCCACCAGCGAGCGCGCCGTCAAGGGTGAGCGTCCCCCTGCCCCGCGGGGACGGGCCGCGACCCCCGCACGAGCGCCCAGGGAGGGAGAGGCGGCCTCGCCGCGGGGAGCAGTGCCCTCGGTGTGCGGGCCGGGCTGCCCTGCCCGCGGGTGGGGACGGGAGTGCTGCCCAGCGCCGTGCGGGGGCGTGGGATGCCCGCACGGGCGGGGGATCACCGGGGTGGGCTCCGCTGCGGGCGGGGGACGAGCGGGGCGCGGGCAGGCCCGGCGGGGCCGGGGCGGGAGCGGTGCCCGAGGCCTGCGGGCCTGGCTCGTCCCGCCCGGATGCGCTGCCCGGAGCGAGTGCGGGGCCGGCCGGGGGCACCGCCGGGCTCCGGCTCCGCGGGGCAGAGCCCGGTGATTGCAGGAGCTGACAGCGCCGGGGAAGACCGAGTGGGAAGGTGCTGCCACCCTTTCTATTGGCTGCTGTTCTCAGGTTCCAGTTCTGATGGAGAAAATTCACCTTGATCTATTTCTTTGTGGCCTTCCTTGGTAATCTCGCGGGGGGCCTTTAAAAGTCAAACGTTATACTTCTCAGAAGAAAAAGTAAAACGTTTTAAATAAGCTACCAAAATGCTGTAAATTATGAAGTTCTTTCCTCTGAATCCCATCAAATGTGTAATTTTAATATTGGTGGGAAGAATAATCCTTTGCAACCTAAAATATATATGTTAAACCTAAATTGTCAGTTAAGAGCATAGCACAGGTAGAGCTTCAAAGAATTCCTAGGTTGTGTTTGCTCAAATTACAGATCATTTTATTTTGATCTCCGCAGTTTTCATGTTGAACTGTTTGATGGTAGCAGCGTGGACGGTTGTGATGGCAGGCCTGGGCTGCTGGAATTCACGGCTGTATGCAAGCATTCTGCTTTTAGGATTGACGTTCCTAGGCATACAGGGTCTCACTGAATTTGAAGGGGTGGTGGTCTGGTCATTTAACTTTTTGTATAACAGAGGGCCTTGAGAAACGACAAGGATGTATTTTTCTTCAGCAGGTCTTAATTAAAGCCTTGGAATCCCATAGTATGTTTTGGAAATCGGCATGTTTTCCAATAAGTTGGAAAGCTTTGCTCGCAGTAAGTCGTAACTCATTTTGGATTGCTTAACCTGTTGATTTTTTTTAACAAATTGTAGGGGTAAAAGTAGAAAATGTTAAAACCAATCTAGTGGAAACTTGCACTCGTTAGTGCTGCTTTAATGTGTGGTGTTTAGAATCGCTGAATTTTTATACCTTTAGTGCAATTTGTGTAAAGAAATTAAGTTCTTCAAACAATGCAAAAGAACAATAAGTGATCAGATACTTTATAAGGCAGTGGAAAACCTGCTGATTTCTAATCACTTAGTAGTTCAGCCTGTTAAATGTGACCTGTGCATCTTTAATCACCTGTGCATTGTTTAAAATTGTAGTTAGGACTTGCTTCATTCTAACACAATTACTGCCTGAGGTTGCAGTATTTTTTTGAATCTGGGTGTAGGATTCAGAAGTATTGTAAAGGTAACCAGGCTTTGATGGCTTCATCTGACATAATTACAGCCAGTTAATACAGCATTTTCCTATACCTTCTGTTGACCTGTCCTATCCATAGCTATCATGCTGAATCATTGGCTTCTGGAGAAAGCCTGGCCAGTTGTGCCAAGCCATCTGTTTAACTGATACGAAGGACAGGGTGGTTTGGTTCTCCCCTCCTCCATTAGGTGCAGTGCAGTTGGAAATATTTGTTTTGGACAGTGACCCCAGAGGTGCAAGATTGCAGGTTATGTCAGTCCTAAGTGGGAGTATGTGTGCAATGTAAATACATTTGTTGAAACCATGTTAAAATGTGACAACTGTGTCATGTCCCTGTTCACAAACAGATGCATTGCTTCTCACATACCAAGAAATATTCACCATACTCTTGCTTATTGTACAATGAATAGGCCACTTATAATGTCTCAGGTTCTTGAGAAAAGCCATGGAGAAAAATGTAGTAATATTGTATCCGTGTATTGATCCTAATTTCAGCTTCCGTGCTTTCCATCTACTGGGTCTTTTGGGGAGGAAATGTGAATTCATCAAAGCTTGCTGTTACTTGCATTATTCCTCTTGCTTTTATTTAGGCTTCATTTTCTTCCTCTGTATTACTGAAAGAACAGAGAAGGAACAGAATCCATTACATTTCAGCTGCCGTGAGAAATTAAATTCTTTACCATTGATAATATATGTTAGCAGAAATGGGCAAGAGATGCTCACCCAAGGAGAAATGGTTAAATTATTGTATCATCGGTAATTAATATTTTTTAATAAGTAAGATAATGATTAGGATGTGTCCCCCTTCATATTTTGACCTATATATTTAGCAATTGCTGGGAAGCATGTATATCTAGAGAAATGTATGAAAGGTTATCAGGTGTAATATGTTTATATTAGACATATACATAATAAACACAATAATGGGTTTAAATATGCAGTCTGTACAATCTAGCTGTGCTGGTCTGACATACCTTTCCAAGTATGAATTATATCATCAAAGATCACTGGTTGCTTTTAAACCATTTGAAAAGCTCAAATTTTCTTTTCTCATGGCTTAGTTAAATTGCCTAAGTAATTTGTACTTGTAGAGTTTCCTTTAAATTAATGGTTAGCTGTGGAATTGAAATGTCTAAGTCAGTTTTTGGCATTTGATTCCCAAAAGATATCTTGTGATGAGGCTTTTGTAACTGTTTTTTTATCTTTCTTAATAGAGAAGATGTACCTATCATCCTGATTCACTGTTTGCTAAGGCACCCTCTTTGTCTTTGAAGAATACTTAGTGTTTTACTGCCTTGTGGAAGATAGCAGTTTCCTCTATTATGTTCTGTCAGAATCTTTTTTCTTTAAACTGCTGTTGATATCTAAGTCATGTATCTGGTTCTTTTGGATTTGGGTTTGCCTTTGCCTTTCTTGTTGGATGACAACTGACTGATTTCAGTGATGGTGCTTGACCTTTCAGTGAATGTGGCTTTCAAACTTTAAATTTGTGGATGTATCTTTTCTACTGAAACAACTGTTTCACTACCTCACATTAAAGTGCTTCTCACTTGTAGGGAGGAAGAAGTGCTTGTAAACTCAGATTAATAGAGAACTCCTTGGCGTGGCAGGGATAACCCTTCATTGGCTTTTCTTTGAGGGCAAAGCATCAGGGCTTCTCCGGCCTACCTGTGGGTAACTGCACCCCAAAGTTGTACTTGGAAATGCTCTGTCCTCCCCAGCATTGTGCGTTGTCCACTATGTGGGTGTTGGTAGACTTTGGGAAGCAGTCCACAGGACCTTGTCATGCTGACCTAATGCTAAATTTGGAGATTATGTCTGTTCTTCTGGAAGTGGAAGGCTTCAGTATTCCTCTGTTTTGGATAAAAGTCAGGGTACGGTCAGATTGGCAAACTGTCATTTTGGATATTAAATGGAAGCTCACTGAAACAACTCTTCAGAGAAAACCGTAGAGATACAACCCTTGAGCAGGATCCTAAATTAAGGAACTAATAGCTACTCTTGGACAATTATGTCCATGTAAGGAGAAAAAGAAATCATTGCAGTATTTAACTTTACAATTCAGAGTCTGGTTAAAAAAAAAAAGGTAAAAGGTTAAAAGTTGACGTGCAGCATGAAGCCTGTTTTAAAAATATTATAAGGCACTTATCTGGCTGGCCAGAAATTATTCTAAGATGATCCAGAAAAGTAGCAGTGTAAAGAGAGTATTAAAAAGTCATATTTTAAAAAATCACAGTTTTGTTTTTGGGGAGAGCAGTGGCATGGAACTGAATTCTGACAAGTAAGTTTTCAACTGGTCTTTCTTTGTTTTAGGGGATAGAGTGGATAAACCTTACCCAAAAATGGAAGCCTGCCTCAATTTCAGTAGGGCAAATTGGCAGTTGAGGGTTGGAAAGTAAGGCCAGAGCACAAAAATTGGGCAGCTACTTACATGTGTGTTTATTGGTAAGGAATTAAGGACTCTCTCACACGTGAGTCAGTTCTTACTGCTGAATGGAACCAAAGAATTCTCTCATTGAAATATAAGTGGTTTCAAAACATATCAACAAAAGAAACGTTCCATAAAAAATATCCTAGGATCAGAAGATATTTGTCTGGTGCTTCTAAAGGAATTCTTTGGGGTTTTGGGTGCAAAATTGTGGATTTATTTTCCGTAGCCTGTGGTGTAATTCATCTTCTGAGTCAGAGAGATGGAGCAGAGCAGCATTTTTTTTAAAATTCTAGATTGAACTGGAGAGCTGTAGATCAGTAAGTTTAAATTAAATAGATTCATGGCACTTGTGAGAAAGAGTGGACTAACTATATCCTGGGGAAATACAGCATTAAAGAGGAGTTGGTACAGTTCTCATAGATGAAAATTAAGAGAAATTGTTAGAATATTTTGAAGGAACCAGTAAGCTTGTTGATCCAGGCAAAACTATTCATCAGCTTTCTTCATTGAAGGCTTTAAAGTAAACAAAAGAAGAAATATCTTCTTTTGGATCAAAATTAGTTAGGAAAGAAAGATTGTCAATAGGTAATAAACTCCCATGGTAGAGGGAGGTTAACATCTGTCATCTGTGCTCTTTAAATGTCTTGACAAGTTCTTTATGGCATATAGTGACACTTATCCAGGGTAGCAAACTTCCAGAGATGTTTCAGGAGCTTCTTGATAGTCTGATAGCCTGGGTAAAGAAGATGCTGTTCAGATAGAGCAGACTCTACAAAGAACAGAACAATTCTTGCTTAAACGTGGAAGGTGATGAACTTGAGAAAGAAATATTAGTATCTGTATG